CTGAAATTCAAGATTGAAAAAAGAAATCTCATCGATGTTGTGAAGAACACAAAGTTTGTTATCCTACAATATTGACAGAATTATTGAAATAGTAGAGAAAGAGGAACCAGGCTGTAGTGGAAATGCTAAGTCTCAGTGTCAACGGTTTACGGGCTGGTTCGGCCCGGTTCCATGACCAGCGGGGCAGAGGGATTTCGCAAAATCCGTGCCTCTGGAAAAAAGGAACAGGGGACCCCAAAATAATTAAAAACAGCGGCAACGATCTGAGGAGAAACAAACTAATTTACTAAATATAGTATTGGAATGCAAGATACACTATAATACAATATAATTAAATTTGAAGCTAATAAATCAAATATAATGAGAGAGAGAATGTCCGAAAGGTGGATAGGCCTCACCACAATGCTGAGGTGAGATGCGCAGTCTGTCTGAGCAGCAGGGAGATGGGAGGAGAGCCGACGACCAAGAGCAGGCGAAGAAAAGCGCATCAGGTGACCTTGCCAGGAGTTGTATCTCGAGACTCTGTGACGGCAGAGTCCCCTGGGGAACGTAGTTCTTCTCTTCCAGGCAGGTACCCAGAGCTAGAGCATTAACAGTTAAACTCCCAGTGCCCCACATGATGTTATGATGTGGAATACCGAAAACCAGAAATCACAAAACCATGACACACAGCTTGAAACAGTGATTGAGCACCTGGTGGGAAGGCAAGGCCAAGCCAGGGGAGCTCAGGAGTATGCAGTATACCTGAGTGACAAGAAAGGGTGGAGCCAGGATGCATCTCTTCCCAGACCTCATGTAAGGGTTGGCAGTGAAGATGAGGACTTCTTTCTGGAGGTATGTGCACATCTGAGGCCTTCTGAAGCCCTCTTCTTTCCCTTATTTCTCTGTCCATTGCAATTCCTCACTTGCGTGGGGTCTTGCTGCTCTGCTGTCTGTTGCACTTACTATCATATTACACAGGCTATCAGAGTTCATTTCATAAGCTGCAAAGATAAGCTACATAATTATAGGATGTAATGACACTTAATTTCATATTTTTAAAGAAATACTACAATATCATGTCACTTTACAGGGTACATCACTTAGCTTTATAGCAGTTACTTACAGCAGAATCACATTTTAAATGCTGCTGAGTTGCAGAGTAAATTATCCTCAACTCTGTTGGGCAAATTACAGCTTAAGAATAGGAAAACATACATAAATAATGTGAATTTCCTGGTTTGTTATTTTAATAACAAGTAATTTATAAAATGGAAAACAAAGAAGCAGTCAAATGATGGGCTGGAATATACAAGTAAGAATGTTTTTATACACTGAGCCAAGAATTTCTAACTAAGATGCTAATAAGTATCAGTGCCTTAATTTTTCCTGAAATCTAATACAACTGCAAGCTAACAAGGCCCTAGGTAGTGCTCATCCCACTCACCTCTGATTAGATCTTGCAATGAGTCAGTTCAACATGTAGAACTGAAGGAAAACTTTCTACTGAATCAAACCAATTTTCACTATATGCTTGCTAAATCCAGTGCGACAGGAAGACAGGGAATATACAGCCAGCCGTGAAAGAAGTGAGGGTGAAGAACTGCCTTTTAAGCCACACCAAAGCCTAGATGGTAGATTATATTAAAGTAATCAATAAGACCGTGTACTTAAAGTAATTAAAGTGGTACACCTTTAATCTGGGACATGTGACAAGAATGATAGAAACACCTGAAATTTTGTAGACAACATTTCCTCCCTGCTGAAGAACACATTTTTATAACTAAACTTAACAGAAGTCAGAGCCATGTTTCCAAAGCAATGTTACAATGACATCATTTAGCAGGGAAAATACTCTAGTTTTATTACAGGTATCAACATTGGAGCTGTTTGCCTTAATTCCTGAACAGCTAGACACTTGCATTACATTTCCAGGATATAACAGAGATCAGTAAACAAGTTGCCAATCACAAGAGAAATTATTTGTTATTTGCAACAATTGAGCCATAATTCTACATTCAGAGAACTTGGCTTACCTGGTATTACGTATTTGACCCTTATGACATGACTAGTTCTGCTGAATTAGCCTGAACACGTGATATGGTGTTTATGCCAGCTGCAGAAAGATACTATGCCTAGCTTGACATCACAAAATGTTAATACATTTGATTTAGCAGAGTGAACTTGAGAAAAGTACTGCTTGGCATCTTCTGACTGCTATGCTTCGGCTCAATCCTAAGTGAACTAAAACCAGATTTATTGTTATGAAACCACGGTTCTTTCAAAACTCCCTCTCTAATCATGCTGCAATGAGCACACATTACTCAGTTGTGTCACCTGAAAGTCGTATACAGGTATGACAATAATAGTCCTAAATAGGTATGTACCAGAGGCTTACCTACAAGAATAATTTGAGAGCCTACTACATTTGCTCTGGCTCTGTTGAATTCTGAAAATACACTACATCTTCCTTCTTCCCTGTTTATCCTTTTGTGTGTATCCATTTGCTGCTATCAAAACAAAGTCAGTGGTGGTGAGCCCAAGTCCATGGGGTCAGATGGGATCCACCCAAGGGCACCAAAGGAGCTAACAGAAGTGCTTGCCAAACTTTCCATCGTTTATCAGCAGACACATACTGAGTTTCATGGTACAGTATTTTCATTGAAAAGTCATGACAGTCAGGTGAAGTCCCTGGTAACTGGAGAAGGAAAAAAAAAAAAAAAAAAGGCAACATCACACTTGTTTTTAAGAGGGGTAAAAAGGATGACCCTGGGAACTACCAATTGCTCAGTCTTACCTGTATGCCAAGAAAGACCATGAAGCAGATCTTACTGGAAGCTATGCTAAGGCATATGGAAGACAGAGAGGTGATAAAGCATAATCAACGTGGCTTCACCAACTATGAACTGCATCAATGGACAAGGGAAGAGCCACTGAAGTCATCTGTCTGGGCTTCAGGTAAGGCCTGTGGCACAGTAACCCACAACATTCTTCTCTTCAAATTAGAAATATACGGATTTGAGGGATGGATTGTTCAACAGATGAAGAACTGGCAACAGGACCGAGTCCAGAGAGTGGTGGGCAATGGCTCCACGTCTGGATGGAAATCATGACTAGTGGCGTTCCTGAAGGTCAGAACTGGGATCAGTTGTCTTTAATGTTTTTGGCAATGACATCAACAGCTGTGTCAAGAGCTCCTTTAGCAAGTTTGTGGATGACACCAAGCTGTGAGGTGCAGTTGACTCACCAGAGAGACAGGATGCCATCCAGAGGGACACTGACAGGCTTGAGCAGTGGCAAACCTCATGAGGTTCAACAAAACCAAGAGCAAGGTCTTGCACATACGAGGCCCCCCCCCGCCTTCCCCTCTCTACCCTTCATCCTCCCCCCAACCCACAATCAATGCAAGCGGGAGGAGACAAGGATAGAGCACGGCCCTGCTATAAAGGACTTTGGAGGTACTGGTTGATGGCAAGCTGGACATGAACCAGCAATGTGCCCTTGCAGCCCAGAAAGCCAACTATATCCTGGGCTGCATCAAAAGCAGTGTGGCCAGCAGGTCAAGGGAGGAGATCCTGCCCCTGTACTCTGCACTGGTGAAGCCTCACCTGGAGATCTGCATCCAGATGGGGAGTGCTCAGTACAGAAGAGATGTGGACCTGTTGGAGAGCCTCCAAAGGAGGGCCACAAAAATGATCTAAGGGATGGAACACCTCTCCTGTGTGGATGTGCTGAAAGAGCTAGGGCTGTTCAGCCTGGAGAAGGGAAGGCTCCACGGGGAGCAAAAAGGGAGGTACAAGAAGGAAGGGGACAGACTGTTTAGCAGGGTCTGTGGTGATAGGACAAAGGGAAAAGGTCTCAAAATTAAAGAGGGTAGATTTAAGTTGGATATAAGGAAAAAGTATTTTACAGTGAACTTGGTCAGGCATTGGCACAGGTTGCACAGAGATGTGGTGGAAGCCCCTCCCTGGAGAGGTCAGGCTGGACAGGGCTCTGAGCAACCTGATCTACCTGTAGATGTCCCTGTTTATTGCAGGGGAGTTGGACTAGATGACCTTTAGAAGTCCCTTCCGACTCTAAGGATTCTATGACTCTACTACTGTAGACAAAGTCCAGACCTATAAAATGGTGCATTTAATATTTGTATAAAAGCACTAACTTTGAATTTAAGACAGAAAAACTTCAAATTCTGCGTTTGTAGGAGTCTGCAGGTAGACTTCTAAATAATTCTCCATCACCTATCAGAAGTGTTTTTTGTCTTTTTTATTTTTAATGGCACAAGGATGGAGGCGGAAAAGAAATATCTGTATAAAGTTCTAATCCTGTGGTATCTAGCATATCTAGAAAAGAAGAAAAATGCTGGATCAGAAACAAAAATGACTACCTCAGCAGGAGGTAGCTAGAGTGAAATTCTCTTTGAAAATGAGTATTGCTGAGATGGAAATTACAAAGTATTGACTGACAAAAAGAATAATGACAATTAGAGTCATACTTTCTACATATAAGATACTGCAACAGAATGAACAAATAACTTTATTATTAGCTATTTCCTTATAAACCTTACTGAACAGGCCCCTCCAAACTGCAAAAATGCTATACATAACATTTGGTGAAAAGTTTTCTCTTAGTGGAATATAACTATCACTCTCCATGTTAAAGTATATTAACAAAGGAAATATGAACTGGTCATAGCTTTATGGTTTTTGTTATTGGTATTCCACATCATAGCATCATGTTGTACACCAGGAGTTAAAGAGTTAATACTCCAGTTCTGTGGATTGTGGATAGTTCCTAGTACCTGGTTCTCAGAAGAGAAGAACTACATATTACACACCCCAGAGGACTTTGCATTGTTGTTTCTGTTTTCTGTTCAGAGAGAAAGACAAAACTATTCTCATATCATGAGACATTCCCCTTTCCCCTCCTGCTTGGCCTGGCTAGACGTCTTGCCTCAGCATTAGAGTAAGGTCTTTGGTTTTTTGATACTCTCATTTTATTTATTAGCTTCAATTCTAATTATATTGTACTATAGTGTGTTATCTTGCATTCCAATATCTTACTTAGTAAATTAGTTTTGTTTTTAGGCCCATCACCCTACCTTTTCCCCAGCCATAACTCTGTGGGTCCTCCTGCCCCACTACTCATGGAGCTGGACAGCACCAGTCTGTAAACTGTTGACAGAACTGAATCACTACTTAAAGAAATAGTTATTCTATTTGGCTACAGGCATGAGTCTTTGAGAAGACTTTAGAGGTTCCTTGTCGCAGGATTGTGACAGAAATAGGAGGCATATTGGCTTTGCAAATTGATCAGCAGGAAGTTCCCAGGACTTACCAAGGTCCCTAATTTTACCTTGAGGGGACAAAATACACAACATTAACTGCTGTTGAAGTTAGCTTCCCTGGTTCAGTGACTACTCTTCAAAGAGTGATTTAACTAGAGTTTTCCTCTTGACAAAGAAGGGAATCAAATGCCATAATCAAGTATTTTAGTAACTCTTGCCAACAAAGACAAACAAAATTTAGTAACTCAGTTAACAAATACTGGCTACAATCACCAGCTGTGTCCCCATCTGTACCTCAAACCTGCCTCTTTTCCTGTCCCTCCTTCCCCCCCCCCAAAAAAAAACATTAAATCCATAAAACCTGATTCTTTAGAACCTTATAGTCTTCTCTAATACATGCTAATTTGGCTGCCATAGAAAGCATTTTACATCATGCTATGACAGTGTTTTGCAGTGACTGTTTGACTTCAGCTTCAGGTGAAAAATATTTCTTCTGCAAACAAGAGGAAGCCAAAGTCCACGCACTCCTCAAAGTCCTCAGACTCTCACTCTGTATAAATTTTGTGAGACTTCTTTCAAACATTTTTTCACCTACTTCGTAAGCTTTTTAGGGATAGCACTTGACTTGGGCTGTGTGGGGATGCATCGTGCCTTGAGGTTCCGGGTTCTGTAGTGCCTTCAATCATAACAAGAATTATAAAATATGAAGTATAGCTCAGAGATGGAAGCTTTTCCCCCCCCCCTCTTGTGGGGGGGCAAAGTTACAATTATCCTCAATTAATAAGGCTGGGATAAACTTTATACAAAAGATATTCTGTTTGGGTGTTGTTAATGAGAACAGCATTTGATGCTTTTTTTATTGTTTTGTAACACAGAGCTCTACTGGGTGAAAATGAAAGTAGCTAAAGCTTAATCCAAGAGAAAAGTATTTTCCCTCTATGAAAAAACTATCAAAAAAGACTAAGATCTATTCATACATACTCTATTACTCCAAGCAGCTTAATGTGAGACCTCCATCCACACACTGTCATCCTATGGTCTATTTAATTTCTGGTTGGAGCCTGCAGTCTTTTTCCAAGCTTTGTAGGTAGGTCTGGGCTCAGTGATCTTTTCAAACCGATCTCCAGCCTACCTTAACACCTCACATTTGTCTCATTTCTGGTGCAGTCATCATATTTCTGATGATCACTGGGCTATACTCAATCTGTTACTGTCACTAATCCCATCCCCCATTTAGCTACTACTGGAAAGCCAGTTTTCTGCAAACTTTACCTTAGGCACTGTAACGATGAAAATCTTCTCTATTGCTCTACATTTTCTCTCTTTCACAAAATATTTGAAAATTCAACTTGTGCTCTCCCTATGCAATTAGTGGAACTAAAAGAAAAATCAGTTTCACTATAATCAACATAAAAATAGGTGTAAATGATTAAATCCTCCTGTTCTAGTGTATTTACTTAGGATTTACATTTCCCTATAATGAAGTTGCCCACACTTCCATTCAGGTATATTTTACATTCCATCCACGGAAACTATTTCCTACTGGTTGTCCTCAGTGCTATCACAGTTTTAGTGATATTATTTGCATCACTTACATAACAAACATAGAATAGCAATATTCACCTATGTAGTAATGTGCAGAATCAAACTCTACAACTCACAAAATTATAAAGCAGGTATGTTTATTATGGCACTAGGTGTAAAGGGAATCAGTTCACCTAACTTGCACACCCAGACACTCATCAATTGCATATTTATTGCATAGTATTATACATATGCATGAGATTTCTGAGAAAGGGGCTGGATTAGCATAAGCAGTTCCAAAAACTCATTACAATATATTCCCACCTCTTCACACGTGTCCTGCCCTGTACTGGTTGTGAGCAGGAATCTTTTTGAGTCTTCCCCACAAAGGCTCCTGTTTTTCACCTTTGGCATGGAGTGCTGAATCAGTGACCACAGATATGGTTCCATCCAGCTGAGTTTCTGTTGTCAACAGTGGAATTCCTGCAGCTGACAGCATTTAATTTTGTCGACACCATTTGATATATAATTAATACCCAACTAGTTACACATCAGTAGCCTAATCTTTATGCCATCAATCCAGGCTATTCATTATTTTAACAAAGAATATTAAGAAGTATATCACACTGTAGAAAAAAATACAACCTCCCCTCAACGTTAAAATTATTTGAATTTTGAGTTCTGAATTTTATCTTCAATTGAAGCTCTTCCTTCACGTCTGAAATTGCTTTGTGTTACTTGGCCTTTTACTTATAATACAAAATAATTTCCTTCAGAAGTATACATTTCAGAAAAACAGCTCAGTATGAAGATACCTCCTCAGATGGTTGTCAGTTTCTAATCCAGAAAGGCAGGTACAGCAGAAGAACTTAAGAACCTGATAAAGGAAGAGATGGAGTGAGATAAAAAGCATCTGAACAAAGGATGAATTTCATTGTCTTATTTCCCCCTTTAAGTATTACCAAGTAACAGTTTTATATACTAGTTAAATCAATATAAACATGTACTGCTGCTGAAAGATAGTACTGCATTCCCGTTCCCCACCTATTCTAGGTACATAGCCATTCTTACCAGAAAATATTATAGCCACAGCAATCACTACCCAGGTTAGAAGAAATCATTTTGTCAAGTTAGGTTTCAGTGACAGCTTAACATGAACATGAAACTGCAGCAATGCCGAGACAGTGGAGGGACCCTCCAGCAATGGGCAGCTCTCGCAAGAGTGGCTGACATAGCAGGAGATTTAAATGGCTGAAACCCAGAACTAAGTCATCAAGGGCAGCTGCTTCAGAGCCGGCCCAACCAGAACCAGAGCAACGGATCTCAAGGTAGGAGGGGGCCTGGGGGTTTCCTTTGCCAGGGAAACACCGAGACAGCGGAACAACCCTCCAGCAATGTGCTCTTATGACAGAGGTGGGTGTTGCCAAGGCAACAGAGGCCATACCATGTTCTTTTCCTCAGGGAAAGCACTGACAAGTTGTTGCCCACCAAGTACAGGGTGGGCGAACAGAGCACAGGTGTCACTTGTACACTGGTTGTGTGCTGTAACAGGTGGAGCTGTAGCATGCATGGCAGGGCACTACAGTTTTACTGGCTTCAGAAGCAAGGAGGCACTCATTCCAAGTGACCTTCAAAGCAGAATGGTGCATGTACAATGCCAAGCTAAGGCTGCAGCTCTGGCAGGGGAGTGTGTACCACCTACCCCAGTCATCATCAGTGCCTCCACTCAGACTGAGCTTCTAAATAAAGATGTATCTTTGCAGACCATGGTATGTGGGAAGTGCCTGCACCTTTCAGCTGGAGCAGAGGTGAGTGGCAAACTTGCCTGCGTAAGGTGTGCCCAGGTGGAAGACCTCCTGCAACAGTTGACTGACCCTGCAGGAGACAGTGAAAAGGCTGTGTGCTATATGGGAGGCAGGGATTGAGACAGTTAGCCAGATTTACGTGCAATCTGCATTGAATACACAGTATAGGCCCAAATAACCCTAAACTCCCCCAACTGGCATATCCAGTTGGAGGGGAAACAGTGATGAGAAATGGCAAGCTGCCATGAGAAAAAACAACACGGGGAAAAAGCCTGCCTCTAAGCCTCTGCAGGATTTAGGCACTCTAAGAGGTGCCTCTGCAGTTCTCCAGCCTGAGAAGGAAAAGGAAACAATAACAGGTAAGTCATCTGAACTATGTAAGGCAGCCAGACCTGCTCCCTGTCGCGTAATAACTACTGCAACTAAGAAAAAACAATGGGTGAAAGTAGTGGGCAATTTTCTTCTGAGGGGTACAGAAGCACCACTTTGTCACCCTAACCTGCAATCTAGAGAGGTCTGCTGCCAGAGCTTGTATGTCCCACAGACCACTATCCCCTGCTACTGTTTCATGGAGGTATCAGCAACACAGCTATCAAGCAACCTGAAGAATATCAAGGAGGACTACAAGCAGCTGCAAGCAACAGTGAAGAATTTGGGAGCACAGATAGTATTCTCATCAGTCTACCAGGTAAGGGAAATGGGAAAGGAAAGCACAGACAATTACCAAACAAAAAATAAATTAAAAAAAAAATCAATAAACAGATAAGGGAGTGGTGTTGAGAACAGAGCTTTGGCTACTCATGTCAAGGAACTATGAGGAAATCTGGTCTTCTGGAGTAGGATAGGGTTCATCTGTCAGACAAGGGAAGACCATTTTTGGCAGCAAAGATTCCAGTTTAATCAGAAGGGCTTTAAACTAGAGTTGCTGAGAGTAGAGATTCTAAGTCATTGCACGTTGAGGCTGACAATGGTAATGGATGCCCTGGGCTTGGAGTAGCATCACAGGCCAGTAAAACAGGACCTAACTTACAGGGTAAAGTAACTCTAATTGGAAAATCCAACTCAATGGGAGCCCAACTCAAGTGCCTGTACACCAATGCATGGAACACAGGGAACAAGCAGGCGTGTAGGTGCCCAAAGGGCTATGATGTCATCAGCATCACCGAGATGTGGTGGGATGACTCTAATGACTGGAATATAGGAATAGATGGGTATAAACTCGTCAGGAAAAACTGGGAGGGGAAAAGGGGAAGAAGGGGCTGCCCTTTACATCATTGACCACCTGGAATCTATGGAGCTCCACTTGGGGACCGATGAGGAGCTGATGGGACATGGGAACATTTAAGAACTATTGAGAAAACAAAAGAAAGAGTTTGACAACGGTGTTATATGGCACACAT